CTGGTGTTCTTCTAGATGTGTCGCAATCCTTCCATAAGGTATGGTACGAAGGTCTTAAATTTAAAATCCATCACGACCTCCCACTCCAATATTACTTAATCTTAAAATCATATTTAACGAACAGAAAATACCGTTATCAAGCGGCAGTTAATGACGTTGTTAGCTGGGCAAAGAAATGGCGTATAAAACTGACAAACAATATCTACACATGCAAACTTTACAAATAAAAACATTGCAACACTTCCGATCACTATCGACTCTAAAACTATTCCACATTCAAATACTGCAAAATACCTGGGTATGACCCTAGACGCGAAACTAAGATGGAAAGAGCATATAAAAATGGAATGGGAGCAATTGAACATGAAAGCAAGAAGGTTAAATTGGTTGTTGGGCAGAAATTTCTGTCTGTCTATCCACAAGACCCTAATTTACAAACAAGTGCTAAAACCAATATGGACCTACGGCATCCAACTCTGGGGTTGTGCGAAAAAAACCAACGTAGAAATCATACAAAGATTCCAAAACAAAATCCTTAGGCAGATTGTTGACGCACCATGGTATGTTCGCAACGAAGATCTACATAGGGACCTCAAAATTAAAAGTGCTGAGAATGAAATCAAAAGATTTGCCTCTAAACACAAAGAGAAATTAAGCAATCATCAAAATGAGGAAGCGAAGAAGCTTTTACCTACTGGCAACTGGCAACGAAGCTAAATGACCTGGCTCATCAATAGTTTATAAGCCAATATTATTTTAATAGAGATAAAGATGTTCTAGTCAAAATCTATACTTTGGCCGAATTAATAAACAAATAAAAAAAAAAAAAATTAGCATATATAAAGTGTCTTTTTCGAATTAAAGGAAATATTTCTTTATTTTAGAATTTCCTACGCCCGGCGGATTGGGCCACGAAATACCCACAGTAAGGTATGCTTATGGTAAGAGTTTTCTAAAACCCCAATGGAAATCCAGACGCGGCGGACTCACAATGAGCGGCTTTCTGGTCTGCGACTGATCCCTGGGGGACGACAGAAATTACATATGCTGCCTTGCATATTATTCTCAAAGAAATTATTCTCAAAGGCTAGGAGAAGAAAACTCCGAAATAAAACAAACAAATGCAATGAACAAAACACAAGGATTGAATACCCCAGGTGGCCAGTATTGCTGGAAAATCCACAATCTTCGGAGCTGGTCTCCTGGATTCTGGGGGAGGCCACTTATTGCATAGTAGATCGGCGTTGATGGACACATTTATATGGAGATCGGGGGTCATGTGATCACCCTCATTGGTGATTGCAGAGAAAAATGGCAGAGTTAAAGATGATAACTCTGAGAAAAAGTCTAACAAGTTTGCAGAAGACAAAAAACCCAAGAGGGTAATATGAAAAGGTATCTTATACAGGAGAGTAAATTGGATTCTTAGGATTCGAGAATAAGCGAGTTAGAGAGTCTTTGTAAGGTTCTACAAAATGAGATCTGCAAATTACAGGCAGAGAATGTAGATTTAAAAATCAAATAAAATATGCATCAACAGAAAAGAAAAACAAAGAAGTTATTGTATATGAAACCGACGAGGAAGAACTGGCTAGAGAAACTGAAAAATGCAAAGAAGCGAAAAATGGAAAAGTCTCCTGAAATAAATCCAGAGTGGGCAGTTAAAAACAGTAATGAACCATCCCTAAAATAAAGGCTGAAAATCAAAAAAAGCACAAGCCGCCACCGGATATATTGAGCAAAATTAAAAACTACTCCCACATAGTTAAGATATTAAAAGAAGAAAGAATAAACGAAAAAATGAATAAGGACCAATTAAAAAAAATGTGGAAAATGAAAATGAATACAGATTACTAAAAAAAAGCTATAAATAAGGCTAGCCTGAAGTGGCACACGTATGAGAATAAACCGACGAGGCCAGTTAAAGTGATGGCTAGAAATCCCCATCCATCGTGTGAACTAGAGGATATAAAAAAAGAGCTCATTAGCAAAGGCTTTAAATGTCTAGATGTTGTAAATAAAATCAAAAGGAAAAAAGAAAATGGAAAATATATTTCAGTAAAACTTCCGCTCTTTATATTATCTTTTGACCATTCCGAAGAGATAACCAAGATCTATAAAATAGACTACTTACAGCACATGAGAATAAAAATTGAAGGTCTTAGAAGCAGCAAATCCATTCCGCAATGCAACAGATGCCAGAGATTTGGACACACACAAAAGTTTTGCCAAAGAGAGGTTAGATGTGTAAAATGTGCTGGTAATCATATGACAGCAGAGTGCAATAAGAAGGATAATTTTCAGCCCAAGTGTGCGAACTGTAATGAGGCACACCCTGCTAGCTATCAAGGTTGTTTGGTTGCAAAAGAATTGCAAAAAAGAAGATTGAAAAAGAATAAAAAAAAACAAAATCAAGTTAAATTTAATGAGCAAAGAACTCTAAAAATAGCCAGAATAACAACACCTATCAAGGTGTTAAAGGGAGTATCGTATTCACAAGCGCTTCAAAGCAAAACCCCACAAAAAAAAGGAAAAAGAAGGAACCTGAGAACAAAATCCCACAAAAAAAAATAACTGACGCAGACATTATGCAAATGATGCATAGTATATTGATTAAAATTGACGAGATCTCTAAAAGATTACTAAAAATAGAAAATGCATACACTGAGGTGTATACGGGGACACCAAAAAAATTAAGAAAAGATGTTTGTAAATGAGGTACGTATAGTAACTTGCAATGCTAATGGTGTTCTTAATAAGAAATAAGAATTGGAGGTCTTTCTCCAAACGAGAAATATAGATATTTGTTTGCTGTCGGAGGAGAAATTGCTATAAAGCGGTACATCCCAGCAATCAGCCAAGAGAAGGTAGTGCAATACTAATAAAAGGAAATATAGAACATAATGAAAAATTCAAGATTGAAACGGCTGAAATTCAGCTCATTTCGATAAAAATTAAATCGACTAAACATAACTTTAGTGTTGGTGCTGTATACTGTCCACCAAATTGCAGCATTAAGAAAAATAGTTTTAAAGATCTCCTGTACAAGCATGGATACCGAAATCTAATAGGAGGTGACTATAATGTAAAACATACAGATTGGGGTTCTAGAATCACCTCAACCAAAGGAAGAGAGCTAAGAAAAGCTATTCAAGAACTAGGTTGTTGTTATCACTCCACTGGCACTCCTACTTATTGGCCTACTGATATTAACAAAATTCCTGATGTTATTGACTTTTTTATAACCAAAAAAATATCAGAAAACTGTCTAAGCCTTGAAGATAATTATGATTTTAACTCGCATCACTCTGCTGTCATATTAAAACTAAGTGAAAAAATAACTAAAACATTACGTAGCCCCAGTTTGACAAATAGCACTACAGATTGGGCGAGCTTTAAATACGAAATAAATAATATTGACGTAAATATTAATATACAATCAGGAGAACAATTAGATCTGGAGTAAGAAGGATTTATTAAAATCATACAAAAAGCTGCATGGAACAATACAAAAATGTCAAAGCACAAAACGACAGCAAATATCTATCCTGGAGAAATAACTGATTTAGTAGGTGAAAAGAGAAGGGCCAGACGCAGATGGCAACGTTCGCGTCACCCTGATGATAAAAGTGTTTTAAACAGACTTTCCCAGGTGCTTAAAAGAAAAATCCGAGAATTTAAATCGGCAACATACGAATTATATAAAGAACTTGTCAGCTACGAAGGAAACGAATTATTCCTTATGGAAGGCGGCAAAGAGCAAAAATAGATCGATTAAGCACGCTCCGCCACTGATGAAAACAAATGGCAGTTGGGGAGCAATATAGAGAAGGCCGAATTGTTTGCTGATCACTTCGAAAGCATATTCACGCCAAACAGAATAACTTCAGATGTAAGTTTGGCAGAATCTATCGCAAATGAAGCAGGCAGCATAGCTCCACTTACTCAATTAGAAATTGCGGAAGAGATAAGATCCCTGAAGTTGAAAAAATCGCCAGGTTTTGATCTTATTACTGCGGAAGTACTGAGAGAGCTACCAGATCTTCCTTCTGCTTGGAAAGTGACAGAAATAATTATGGTATCCAAACCCGGCAAATCCTTGAGGGAAACAAAGTCTTACCGACACATTTCACTGTTACCAATGTCTAAGTTTTTTGAAAAACTACTATTAAGGAGATTGAAGCCAAAAAGTACCTGCTTTACACTGCAATATTGGCAGTAGGAGGGAACATTAACGATTCGACAAAAAAATTGCAGGACGCAAGTAACAAAATAAGCCAGTGGACTAGGGATTGGAAAATGAAGTTGAATGAAGCAAAATCGGTGCACATAAACTTCACCAATCGGAAAATAGTGAATCCACCACAAATTAACTTAAATGGAACGAACGTAACGATCTATAATTCAGCAAAATACCTAGGAATGACTTTAGATGTCAAAATAACGTAGAAAGAGCACATAAAAAAGAAACACATAGAATTAGAAAATAAATATAGAGAAAATTATTGGCTCCTAGGTCGTAAGTCCAATTTGGCAATTGATAATGAGATATTAATTTATAGCCAAATTATTAAACCAATATGGCTATATGGCATTCAACTGTGGGGTTGTGCCGAGAGGACTCACATTGACAAAATTCAAATCTTTCAGAATAAAGTTCTACGGGGCATGGGAAATGCGACATGATATATACGTAACAGTGATGTCCGCAGGGACTTAGGAATTCCTTTAGTTGTGGATGAAATTAGGAGTTGTGCTACAAGGTATAGGCCTCGTCTAGAACAGCATGTAAATATGGAAGCATTCGATTTAACACGAAATACTAATTTCCTTATGGAAGGTATTTAATTCCTATACGGAAAAACCAAGTTAGCGCGGAGGTAATAGTTGGTCTGTAGGACCAGTTTTATCCGTTCAGAGTTTGGGTAATTTTTTAGGGTAAGAATCACGCCCCCCCACTATCGGAGGAAAAAGGCAACTAGTAGAAAAAAAAAAAAAAATTTAGCAATTTTTAACTTTACTTTATTATTTACAATGTTTACATATTACATAAGATCCACGCCAAGTACAAAACTACAATAATTAAATTTGAAATACAATTGGTGTTGCTCTCTCACTTGTTTGACTATTTGAATCCCATTTTTTTCTTAATCTAATTTTTAGGTTTAGCTCATATTATTTATTAAAAAGGTGATTTAATCTAAAAATATGTCTGACTTAAACGCGTTCCTAATATTCAAATTTTGAACGATTTTAACATGTCCAAGCTTAATTATTATTAAATATTTAATGTAATAAAGTATTATCCTGGTATTTTTATTGGCTTATCAAACTTATTTAATAAATTGACTGATTCATTTACTTCACCAAGTCCTAACTTTAAAATTTCATTCGAAATGTCGCAGTCATCGTTGAATAATTTTATATAAACACTATCAAAATGATTTACAACAGAAGCATGCCAAAATTTGTTTAATATATTTTTTTCAACAAACATTCTTAATTCAGTTTCCTTTGTGCTTGCACATTTAATACCATCTAAAGTGAAATGCAAAGCTTGAAATGATACAATATCTAATTGACTCTTCCATTTTCTAATATTTTCCACAGCTACACTTTCACTGTTACCATAATCAACAAAAAATACAAAAACTGAATTTGTAATTTCATCATAATCCATTATTTGGGCTCTATAAAATAAACCGTCTGAATATTTAGCTAATACTAGTTCGGCTAAGGTCGGAATAAGATTTTCTGAATATGTTTCAAATTTTTCGAGCTCCTCTGGTAAATTAATATTGCTCATTAACTCATAAAATTTGAGAAGGTCATGCGATATGATCTGACCATAAAATTTATAGCCACTTTCTTCTATGAATGTTGGTATAACTTGGAAAGATGTACCAAAAGCTGGATGGGTAGGCTCATTGCAGTTTGATATTACAACACCAACCTTATCTTTTGTCCATCCTTCCAATAATTTTTCTTCGTGATTTAAATGACATTTAGATTTTTTAAAACATTCCCCGTTTACCGAAAATTTACACAATTTGGCTTCATCCATTGGAACGTATCCAAAAATTGCCTTTAATGGATTCGTTGTATTCAAAGGTTCCTCATTTAAGATGCTTAGTTCCTCTGGAAACATTTCATTAACAGCTCTATCCAATTTCAAAGATGTGGCACTGTTATTAAATTTGTTTCCTGAAATATTACTTGTGCCACCGTCATTCATTTTATTTTGAAAGTTTGGCTTGTCCGCACACTCAATTTTTTTTCTAATCTTTTTGCTAGAAGTTCCGTAAATTTGAAAATTTGGTATGCTCTTACCATTTTTTTCGACATTTTTGTTTGGTATCCTCCAGTTATTCAATACATTTGAATTACTTTGAGCATTAGCATACTTTGAAAAATTCTTTTTTTCTGCGGAGTCTTCCCGAATTCGTTCCATATTATTCTCATACTTCTTAAACTTTTGATTAGTTTGCATACTCTGTTGCACTAAAATTTATAAAATATTTCTTAGTAGATTGATTTAGCAAAATTTTTAACACAAATTATCCATGCACATACATATAATATATTTCTACTGAAAGGTGCTATAGAATTTGTATATCATTTAGTTTTATAACCGTAATAACACAATAAGTAGATAGTACTTTGACATATAAAAATAATAGCCGTGTGTCTTCCTGACTTCAATAATCCGCTTACAACGTAAATTTTACAAAGTATCAAATTCCAAAAAGTTTAGTAAAAGCTCTTGACATTGTACACTTTTCCTAAATGCGTTTTATACGTAGTGAAGACGTAAAATAAAAGTAAATCAGGTATCGAAAAAATCGAGCATGCTTTTCTTACATATAAATGTTGCCATAAATAACCAATTAAATAAATTATGTACATTTATTTTCAGTAATAAAGTGCTAGTTATTAAGTTTTTTTCCTAAAATGCAGCATAAAAATGCAATGTTTTTAATAACTTGGTAACGTTCGTGAAAAATTAGCTTTTGCATAAAACTTTAAATTGAACTTTTCAAACAAACGTCAAAGTATGTAATAGTATTGTAAAAATTATATTCCAAAATGTACAAAAAGCTTTAGTAGTTTTTTTACAATGTAAAGGTATTGAAAGCTCTGAGACTGCACTACAACCGTATTAATACCGTACTTAAATCTTTTTTACAGCAATATTGAAGTCACGGAAACCGCGTCAGCCGTGTTAACTGGTAAATAGCTAGCTAACTTTACAATGACAAGACTATGTACACACCATATATGTACACACGGCTGACAGAAATACAATAAAGAATGTACAATAAAATATTGATGGTTTGACATTGAAAAAGAGTCAAGGCCTGTACCTAAAATAATAAATGACGATTTTTGCTTGTTTTCATTTCGAATTTTCTTTGAAAATGTTGAATAAGACTTAACAATATTTATATTGAAACACTGCCCTGGTAAGTATAAGACCACCACGTAGAGGAATAGAAATATTTTTATATAAATAAATTTTCAAGTTTTATTTGGTTGTTTTGAAAAAAAAATTGCCAAAAGAAGGCATTCAAAATAAATTTAATTAAAAATATATTTCCTAAAATTAATTTTTTCGATACAAACCTTCCTCATTGACATTTAAAAAGGTACTGAGTTATATTACGAAAAAACAAATCAAAATAAATTCTAAATTGCATATTTTCCTTTCAATAAAACTTTTACTCAAAACTAAACTATTGGGTATTTTGAATAATGAGTGCTAACTTCAAATTAATACAATATATCTCCGACAAATTAAAACTTGAAATCTTCAAAAACAAAATGTTTGATAAAAACAAGTACGTTCGAAAATCATAGCATGTATAAACTTCGAAAGCATTAATAAAAATTTTGTTTATATACGCAACAGAAATATTTCAAGTTTTAAAAAAGTCATAGTATAGAAATAATATATTATTGTTATTGGTTATATTTTTGTATATACATATAACTAATATCATTTAAGCAATAAATCTGCAAAAGTAAAATTTTTAATTATTAAAAATCAACTATAATTATGCACAAAAAAAATATTTTTAAGATTTCAAGAAGAGGTTTCAGTTAAGAATCTAAAACGGATCAATTAAATGCCTTTAATTGATAATTTCCCTTATAATTAATTTATATTCCTTAATTTAATTAATTTATATTAAAGGATCTACTTCTTCAATAGTTTTTTTTCAAACTAAAAAATAATTTCAATAGAAAATAAATTTAAGAAAAACATATAAATTATATCGAAGTTAACCCGATTGAAACATTTCAGAACAATTTTTTATTGCGTTGCGATGACCTAATATTTACCAGAACAGTGATAGAAATGAAATTTGAAGTTTTCTGAGCAACATATCAAAACTTCAAATTTTAACTCGAAGTATTGACTACAATTTTGATTAAATATATTTTCGAGTTTAAAATCGATTATTTATCAATTTATTTTTATAATCGCAATAACACAATAAGTATGTAGGCCAAATTTGAAAATTAATTGTGTTTCCATTTTTAAAAACTTGAGTTGTTTACTGACAAAAACAATTCTTCCAGCAAGCGATGAAAAGTTAGTACAATTTTTAGAATTTTGAAAGTAACTGAAATTAAATAAAAAGAACAAAAATTAAAAGAGTCGCTAGCCATTAAATTTCAATCAAAATCATTCAAAAATCACTAAAAAAAGCAGCTGTCTCAATTTCATTTGATTTGTCGCTGTGGAAGTTAAAAAGTTGCTAAATCTATGTAATCAACGAATTAGAAATACTAAAGAGTGTCTTAAAAAGGAAAGAGTGTCTTAAAAAAAACAATGAAGCCAAATTCTTTTTAGTTGTCTCTTTTTTTGCTCCAAGCAATGTCAAAGTCGTAAAAGGACCGTGTTTATTTTATTTTTTTATTTGGAGTGTTTATCTATTCATTTTATCTAATATATTTAACAAAAATACTGATTTCTTGTAATATCAAGACAAAATGACATTTCTGAAAACCATTTTTTTTATTTGGAAGAACTATAATTTTTACCTATTTTCATTTCTATACGAAAAGTTAACTAAAACCTAAAAATTTTTATACTAAAATCAAATTTGGAGTTTTCTGAACAATATACCAAACCCGAAATTTTAACTATATTTTTGATATATTTTCGAGTTTGTTCCCCATTTTTTTGTACCGCCATATCTGCATGTACCGCAAAAAAAAATTTGGTGCTGTATTTTTTAATATAGAATATGTTAAAAATAAAATAAGTTAATATGTTAATAATAAAATAAAGTTAATAAAAATTTTATTGAATTTTAAGTTTAGAATTATTTGATTTTAAGTTTTATAATTATTACAGTGCTTTTATAATTTTATAATCATTATAAAAAATGTGTCGTTTCAAGTTGTTCCCTATATAAAAATAAACCAAAAAAATGTTGTAAAGAAACTTGTATAAGTTTTAAAGTCCCTGATGCGCTTGTTTAGCTAAATCAGTGAATTAGACACTAACAATTTTAAATATTTCGTTTTATTAATTTTAATATAAAAGCGAATACCCATACAATATTTTTTATAAATTATGAAGCATAATAATTTAATTAATATAGTATACACATGAAATATATATATATATATATATATATATATATATATATATATATATATATATATATATATATATATATATATATATATATATATTATTATACGAGTATACATTGTGGGACACATTTCATACATAATTAGCAAGCTTGTTAATATCAAAATGTACATTTTCTCAAATTTGGAAAAATGCACAAAAATTAACTTAATGCCTCGAAAAAAAAAGAAATGCACTTTTTTTTCTTGTAGTGTAGAATTTATTGAAATCTTAAAAACATGACCAGAGCCTTTTTCCCCACATGGGTGATAATGTCATCCATGACATCCGAAATAATCCGTGATTTCCATAACGCTTTAACTAGCACTTTATTGCTGAAAATATATGCAACTTTAGTTGGTTATTTCTGGCAACATTTGTATGATATGTATAAGAAAAGCGTGCTCGAATTTTTCGGAATCCGATTTACTTTTTTTTTACGTATCCAATACGTATAGAACGCATTTTGGAAAAGGAATACCGCAAATTCTTTAACGTCAAAATTTGTTTTCAGTCTGCAAACTGTCTGACGTATAAAACTTTTATGGACAGAAATGTAGTAAACTTTTTACCCGTAATTGACTTTGAATTTTGATCATCTGTAAACGTCAAAACAAAAAAAAATTTTTTTTTAGATTTAAAATAATTTTATACTTACATATTAAAAATTAACGAAAAAAATATTTTTTATATTATTTTTAACGTAATGATAGTCACTCAATACATTAAATTTATTTACTGAATTACTACGTCAGACTGTCTGCATGTAAAAAAAAAAAATCTACAATTTTGACGCTTATTTGACTTTTTTTAAACGTTTAAGAATTTGAGCTTTGACTGAAAGTAAAAACGCAGTAGAGTATTCGTAAACTCAGACAACTCAGATTTTGTAAAATTTGACGTTTAAGAATTTACATATATTGTCATGAGATTTTACCAAACTTTTTGGAATGTGATACTTTGTAAAGTTTACGTCGTTTGCGCATTTTCGAAGTTTATTCACGGAATTTTAGTTTAAAACAAAACAAAAACAAATGTTCTTTCGCAAAATAAAAACTTGATAAATATTCGAGTAACGAATTAACTAAAACAAATATTTCTTTTACATATTTATTAAAAATAATATTTACTTGCATATGGTAGAAAACATCCATTTGTTTTTATGCATCTTTTTGTTTTTCTAAAAAAAATAGTTCTTTTTTCTACATTTTATATTATTTTTAAAAAATAATACTCTTTTTTCTTTTTCATTTACAAACTTCATTAATAAAACCAAAATCATGAACATTTTTGTTTACTTTTTAAACCAGCCTTAAAAAAAATTGAGAAAAATGATCACGTGATACACTTCTACATTCGAAAATTTCTAACTTAACGCTTATCTCTATAATGTATTATAATGGATTGTTTAGAATTAGTGGATTTGGAGTAGTGTACATATGTATGTTATGAATAATGGAAAATTATATACATATTAGTAAAATTTTAGCCAATTGGCACCTAAGCTTTTATAACATTATTTATTATTTTTCTTCTTTTACAAAATATTACAAAATGAAAATTTTTTAGTTTGCAATCTGATGTTACTCTTCTTTTATATTTTATTATATGTAGATTCATTTTATAGAATTAAATTGCATTTTGACGTCTTTAATGCTTTTGTAATTGGGGTAGATATATTGTAACATCTCTCGTGTATGCTTTTCCTTTTCAAAGTTTTTTCCTACTGGATTTTCATAAAAAATAACGAATTTTTTACCATCAAATTCGCAATTGACATAATTAGAAAATGGATATCCAGCAGATTCCTTTGCATCTCCAATATAATTGCTGCTTTGTTTTGTCACTAATAAAGTTTTACCTTGTGCTAACTTTATATTTTTTAACTCGGTTTTATCAGACATTATATAAAATTTAATACCATATAAACCAAATAAAATCACTATTTCATTTTGTAGTTCATCCAATGTTAAAAACTCACCACTTGGTTTTTGAAGTAATAAACTAGCCTCTCGTGACTTTGAAAATCGTAGAGGTAAATTTTTATCTAAAACTAAATTTGTCCATGGAACACAAGGCATTACGCGTACTTCATGAGACCGAATAGATATTTGTAATTCGGTTCCTTTCAGCTCAAAAGATTCTTCTATAATAATTTTTCTTTCTGCCGCACTGTCTTCGAATTCACAGAATGATGATTTAATCGTAGCTTGAATCAAATCTTTGTGTTTTTCCGCTACTTTTTTAACTACATGATCTTGCTGGTTAATTGAGTAAAATACCAAAACCGGATCAGTTGGAATTAATTTAGCTTTCTTTTTTAATTTTTGTATGCGGTTAATAATTTCACGGGCTAAACCCTCTTCAATTAACTCATCATTTGGGGTCATATCCATCAAAACAAGAACATCGTTGTCACTATGAGCTTCAAAATGAGCGCCCAATTTTTCCGATATACAATAAATTATTCTGACTTCTTCTAAATCAATTTCATGCCCCAATATATCAAACTTCTTGTTTGAAAGACTTCTTTGTATTTCAGAATCTGTTAAACTTTTAATAGCAGCCATTACAGCTTTGAAATCGCCTTTTAAACGTTGTCCTAAGCTCTTATGGTCTGGTTCGGCACGCAACGTTATGCCGTATTTGTTTTTGTCAGAACTAACAGTTAATTTACGAACATTCAATTCGCCAATTATAAAGTCTTTTAAATTAAGAATTTCTTTGAGGTAATTTTCATCTTTATGTATAACTATGACTTCTGGAACTGGGTACTTTACAGGTAAAGTTCTGCGATCACGCATAACACGTCCCAACTCAATAACAGATTGCATATGTTGCACAGCTACTTCAACATCTCTTTTTATGAAAGTTTTATTTACAATAGGCATCATTTGGTAGTGTACAGATCCATCTAAAGTTTTTTCTTGTAACAAATTGAGACGTTGAAAAATATACTCGGACAAAAATGGAGTAAATGGGGCCATCATTTTGACCATCGAAAAAAGGACATCGTATAAAGTATCAATTGATTGAATACATTCTTCTTTTCCAGTTTCGCCCTTAATGCGACGACGATTTAAACGCACGTACCAGTTGGTGAGCTGATCAATAAATCTTGTAAGCCTAAAAAAATACAAACAAACTTATGTTAAATAATCATGCAATTTCGAACAAATCACCTTGGCACTACAGTATATAATCTATAAGCTTTCATTTCTTGAGCAAAAAAATCAACTAAAGATTCTTTAAATGACAATATCCAAACATCCATTATAGGCGCCGTTTTAATACCATTAAGATGACGATCTTGATTATAGAAATATTGAATTTTTTCATCATTTTCTAATCTGACAACGTTTTGAATTAGAAACCTATACGCATTATACCAAGGTAGGAAAACATCTTTGATAACATCTCTCACTCCTTCTTCTTTAAACCGCAAATTTTCCGCTCTTACGACAGGGGAGTTAATCAAATACAAGCGTAGAGCATCAGCTCCGTATTTATGCACAACATCCATGGGATCGGGGTAATTCTTTTTACGTTTGGACATTTTTTGCCCATCAGAAGCTAGCACCAAGCCGTTTGCAATTAAATTCTTAAAAGGCGGCTTGTTAAAAAGAGCTGTTGAAATAACTAGCAGCGTATAAAACCAACCACGAGTTTGATCAATTCCTTCCGCTATAAAGTCTGCAGGAAAACAGTTCACAAATTTTCTTTCATTTTCAAACGGAAAATGTTGCTGAGCAAAAGGCATAGAACCAGATTCAAACCAACAATCAAATACCTCCTTCACACGGCGCAAGGGGGCACCACCCGGAACAGATGAAGGTATCGTAATGTGATCAATGCTTTCTCGATGTAAATCAGTTATCTTTTGTCCAGATAGTCTTTCTAATTCTTCAATACTTCCAATGCAAACAACCTCTTCACCATTTGGTGACATCCAAATAGGTATTGGAGTTCCCCAGTATCGATTTCTACTAACCTAAAAATAAGAATTCTATTATTTTGTTTTTTTTTTTTTAATGTAGAATCAGTTTTTACAGCCCAATCTCTAGCTTCTTTTAACCAATTTCCAAAACGTTTTTCCTTTACAAATTCTGGTACCCAATAGGTTTGAGAACTACAAGTCAATAAATTTTTTGACATATGTTCCACGCGAATAAACCATGAAGGAACGGCTTTATATATAAGTGGCGTATCAGACCTCCAACAGAATGGATAGCTGTGACTAACTTGGCCATGAGAAAATAATGTATCCATTTCTTTCATTTTAGCCATAATATTTTTATCCGCGTCTTTTACGTACTGTCCTTGGAAGTCTGGAACTTTTTCAGTGAATCGTCCAGAGTCATCAACTGGACAAACAATACTGCAACTCTTTGTTATAACACCATTAGCTAAACACACACGGTAATCATCTTCTCCAAAATATGGAGCTTGATGAACACAACCAGTACCAGAGTCTTCCGTTACATATTCATCCAATAGTACCCTAAAAGCTCCCATTGTTTCAGATCTTTCAATAAAGTATGGAAATAAAGGTTTATATTTCACACCAGCTAATGTTTTTCCTTCAAATTTTTCAAGAATTTCATAACTTGTTGCAGATTTAAATACGTATTCTAATCTGCTTTCAGCTAAAATTACCACTTTTTTAGATTTAATGTCACGGACTCGAACATAAATCATATTTGGATTAACACATACTGCCAAATTTGAAGGAAGGGTCCATGGAGTTGTTGTCCACACCAAAATATAAGATTTATTGGAGCAATTCAATACTTCTAAGGCAGCAATTACCCATGGGTCTGTCACCTCCTTGTAATTTTGACCAGATTCAAAATTAGATAACGCAGTTGTACACGCCGTTGAATATGGCATAACTTTAACACCTTGGTAAACAAACCCTTTTTCGTACAGTTGCTTAAATACCCACCAAATCGTTTCCATATACCAGGGGTATAATGTTTTATAATCATTTTTAAAATCAATCCACCTTCCCATTCTACCAATTATTTCTTCCCATTCCTTCGCATATCTCATGACTATTTTGCGACATTCGCCGTTATAGGCTGCAATCCCCATTTTAGCAACATCTTCAGGTCCTTTAATTCCCAAAGTTTTATCGATTTCATATTCCACAGGTAAACCATGGCAATCCCAACCGAAACGCCTATCTACATGGTATCCTTGTTGATAAGCGTAACGGGTTACTACGTCTTTTATTGTCCCAGCTAATATATGACCGTAATGTGGCAAACCGGTGGCAAAGGGCGGCCCATCATAAAATGTATATCTACAGACATTCATACAAATAAGTGATTAATACATTTTTCACAGTTACCAACCTTGGTTTTCCTTTTGATAATTTCAAACAATTTTCGAATATTTGTTCGGATTTCCAATAGCTTAAAATATTTTCTTCCTCCAATGGAAAGTTTATGTGTTCCGGGACACGGCAAATATTTTCTTTCGACAATGTCTTCACCATAATGTATATTTCAAATTATAACATATTCTTCAAAAAAAATTTATTCAATTTTCAAGTACAGTTCTGCTTTCTGATGCAATTATTAACCAAAAAATAAGAATCGAAAACACTTTAACCTTAAATTAAACATTAATACATTGCTGCGTGTCAAAATTTGAGTGCAATTTATTACATTTGAAAACCTCATATATTGAAAGTGACAACTAACTTCTTAACAGTACTAAATAGATTGGCAATACCATGACAATGCCAAGTTTTTCAGCCTAAAATTGGGGATCAGCTATGTTTCCTTTTCAGATTCTCCTTGATACTTAGCCAACGAAAAAAATTTTTGCTGCTCCCAATTTGTATTTTTATTATATTTCTTTCTCACCATTAGCAATATATCTTATTTTTGTGACGAATAAATTCTTTTCTTAAAATAAAAATTAATATAAAAAAAGCTATAATTAAAATAATTAACTAAAGCAATTGCAAATTAAAATTTAAAAAAATGAAATATTATTAGCACATAAAAAGGAAATGTTGCGCTGAAAACTGCAAAGTCTATTGCGAATTTCAAACTAAGTTACACACTTAGACCTTTGAGTAATTATAAATCTCACTCGTAGGTATTTAGAAGCTGCAATGGCAACATTATTTTTCGGAGTGTCAAAATCGATATTTTATTGTATATTTTAGCTGTCAAGTGTCAACATTTATTTTTTTCAAATTTCATAGATAATAGATATTTCAAAAAATAATAGACAATAAAAAAAAAGTTTAATTAAATTAAACTCGTTTTGCTTTGCTGTAATTGTTTTAGAAGAAAAACAAAACCAAGAAAGAAATCTGCGATTGGAAAGAAAACGTCTTATAGATGATTTTTAATCCTTTTGATTTGGATAAAAATCCGTGACTTCAATAATGCTTTATAAAAAGTTTAAATTTAAGTGAGCTTTCAATACTTTTACTAATGTCTTTATATCTAACAAGTCCCAATGCTCAGAGAGAAACTTGAAAGCACGACCTTATTTTATATGGGTTTCTTTTAAATCGAACTGGCTATTTTTTGAGAAGAAATATTAAAATAAATTCACACTTATTATAAAGCAGGTAAAATTCTAAAAATATATTTGCAAAAATCGAGAAAATATATTAATATTTTCATTCATAATTATTTTAAAATTCTTGAAACTGCGAAAAAACAACAAGCACAACCTTCGCCTTCAACGTTTTATATGTTACTGAAAGCATTTCAGTAATATAATTCTTAAATATTGATATAAATACATAGTAAAGAAAAAATTTGAAGAGGGAATTAGAAAATAATATCTAAAATACAATCAAATATTATTTTTTAAATACAAATTTTATATACACTTCTAAATTTTACCTCTATTTGTGACAAAATTTTTTAAAACTTAATATATTAATACCTAAGTAAAAAAATATTTAAAAGGTTTTGGAAAAGACAATGATATATTTTATGACGGGATTCGTATGTCTTTTTAATTTTTGAAATAAATAGTATCTTACAAGTAGCAAATGACTCAAAAACTCCGATTGTAAAATGACATGTAGTAGGTACTGATGTAAATTTTTGTCCGTTTGCGTTTACTATTAAGATTCATACACAGGCAGGGCCATTTTATAAATAGATTGCTCTTGTTTACCTGCTAATAAAATATGAAAGAAGTGCACAACAAAATTTTTGAAGCACTCAATATAACATGTTTGAAATAATTTTAAAATAATTATTTAAAAAAAAATTTATTGGAAGTAGGTAGATACATATTTATTTTTAATAACTTAAGAACTAACTGAAATTATTTGAAACAATTTTATAAGTAAGGTATAAATAACGGAAATGAGATAATTCAAATTGTTGAAATGTGTCAACCTAACATGTTTGTTAGCCGACACTACTGAACTTACCTTATTGGGAAATACAAAATGTGCATGAAAAATCATACATCCTCCCTCATTAACATTTGAAACCATACTGAAATATGAATTTGAAATTTTTTTTCATTTTTTCTTTCCTCCTACCTTTCTTTCTTTTTCGTGCAATAGAATTTAAATGGGAAGCTTTTTAAAAAATGTGTATAATACCCTGAGATTTTTTAAAATATTAAACTCTTTTTTTACGTAAAAAAAAAGAAAAAATAATAAGAAATATGACACGATCATTGGCATTTAAAAAAAAAAACAGGGACGAAGCCAAAAATTCGTAATTTTTCGTAAAAAAATTGAGTATTGGGACTTGATAGATGTAAAGACGTTGTACAAAAAACTGCTAGAGCTTTTGATACATTTTGGAATACAATTTTACAATATTAATACGTACTTTGACGTTTGCTTGAAAATTTCAATTTAAAACTCTGTGCAAATGTTAATTTTTAACCACTAATTAATCTGTTATTTAGTTGGTTATTTTTGACAATATTTACATGATATGTATAAGAAAAGCGCGCTCGAATTTTTCGATACCCAATTTACTTTTATTTTACGTATCCACAACGTATTTAGCGCATTTAGGAAAAGTGTACAATGTCAACAGCTTTTACTAAACTTTTTGGAATGTGATACTTTGTAAAGTTTAAGTATTAAGCGCATTATTGAAGTCACGGAATCAAATATTTGAGACAAATAAACAAAAACTTAAAAAACTAACAAACCACTCTTGAATACTGGCTAGTGGCTTTTTATGTTTGAAAATTTCATTATTGGATTTTTGGCATTTTGATAACGAGTGTGATTCATATTTACTCTCTTACAAATTTCGAAATACAATTCTACTACTTCGAAGTTCACAATATGAAATTCGTTATTTCTCCGAATTTCAGTGCTACAGGTGAGATTTACAATAAGGGTGTATATTAGCACGTTATATTATTATATTTATTTCATTTCATGTGCGCAGATTTGGAATGTTTCTTTAAGTTTAAATATTATATATAAAACTAAGTTAAATATTATAAATAAAACTTTTTTTTTTTTAAATGCAATCATGAAATATTGTATGGTGATGAAAATAAGGAAAATTTGAATAATGAATTTTTTTAATAAGTCAGTAATAGAATTTAAAACATTGTTCAGTCACTTTAATTAATTTCAAGAAAAGTGGAGTTAACGACAACTTTGCGCCGCTTACCGCGAAATTAAAAACATTCATTACAAAATACTATTCAATACAGTTCAATACAAGTTAAATTTTAATACAAAATGTTTGTTTTTATTTCTACTTCCTAACAAATAATAGTTTTAAAACAATAGTTTAAAAATTTTTTCTTGTAATATAATATTGTTTTAAGCAATCAGTTATAGTTCCCAAAAAGACATTTAAAATTAATCAATTTAAAAAGTTCTGTAGTAAAAAGAATTTGACAACAGTTAAAATAGATATACTTGCAACAAGTCTCAGATTAGTTATAACTGTTTGAATGGTTTTAAATTCTATTAGATACGTTAGTTATCGAACACAAAGTAATAATGTTTTGAATCTTGGATGGTTGAGCTGATTGCATTTCTTACAGTATGAATATTTTACAGTCTAAAAAACTTTTACCGCTAAAAAATTTATTCCGGATTTTTATGATGTGCAAAAAAAGTAAATTGGAGTATTTTAACAATTTTTGCTAGGGTTTAGGCAAAATGTGTTCGTAGTTTATAGTGTGTAAGATACGTATGCACATACGCATAAGGTAATCGAAGCGAACGCATCGCGTAGTCTGACATTTATGTCAAAAATTTGTTTTATGTTATTTTATGTGTGCATAAAATTTTTTGCTATAAACAGCTAAAAAAAAAGTTTTTACAAATTTAAATAATAGATGAAAAATTTGATACGATAGACGATTTGCTGATATTGATATGTTCCAAGCAAAGCTAGCCTGTAGCTTTTAAAATTTAAACTTATTTTTCCAAAGAATTTTATTTTTTTAAATTTTAAGTTCGCGCTTTACATATGTTTGTGAATTAATATAAATTTGACATTAGAACAAAAAGAAATACAAAAGAAAAATATGTAGCTAACCCAGCATTTACACATACAAGTTACTTGCATGCAAGTTTGTATAATATTAATTGTCAATTAGTTTTTCGAAATGTCAAATTACTTGCTATTATGACGTAGGCGTTTAGCAAGTTAATTTTTGAAAATGTCTTTGAGAAGAAAACAACTAGCAATATATATAATTGTTTATAAATTTTAGAAACCATAAGTTTGCTAAGTTTAATTTTTTCAAAACAAAATTCAAAAATTTTAAATTAAAAAAAAAAAAAATCAAAACAACAAATTTTTTTTTGTGAATTTCTCAATATGTCAAATTACTTGCTCAAATTACTGGCAGCAAAATTTTCTTGCAAGTTGAACTGCAAGTAAACAAGCAAGTAGAAATATTTCAATGTGTTAGTAAAATTTTTGTATGTATTGCAACTTTCTTGCAAGTAACTTGTACGTGTAAATGCTGGGTATGAATGAAAAAAATATGAACAATTCATAATAAACTATGTAAAATTTTTAATTTCCATACGATTACCTACGTTTTGGACTTCGCTTTTTACGTAAAGTGAAACTTCGTATCAAGTATTCTAACAGGTAGAAATGTAATTTGTCAGGTGGAATTTCGAAAATGAGAATTTGATGTTCTGAGTTACATGATTTCCTTGTTTTTGAACGAAATGAATTCACTTTTTATTTTGAAGTGAATCTGAATAAGTTCTTTTTAAAATTTAGTAAGCATAGTTTCATACATAAGTATATTACAAATTTGTGTCATGAAATAAACATAGATGGAATTAAAGCATAAAATTAAATTTAGAGTGGAATTGAAATTTCATATCAAATATTCAAATTCATTCCACATGAGTTGCAGAACATGGGCTTTTTCGTTTGTTTTTATTTCAACTTTCACTAAAAATTAACAGTTTTATTTCAGTTTTAAATTTTATTAATAAATTATATTTTAAAGAGAATCTACTTTAATATTCTCATTTGAAATATACGTAAAAAATAAAGAATTACGGAACTTAAATCAAATTAGAGAGAAAAATAGATTCCAGTGCCAGTCTATTAATATAGTACTGTGCATACATGTTGAAAATAATAAAAAAATTAGTTTTCTTTCATTTGAATTCGAAATAAAAATTAAATTTTTCGTTTATTTCAAAATACGACTTCATTTTTATTTTGAAACTAACATATCATAAAAGTAACATATCAACTCAAAATACGATTAAATTTTTCATCCAAATGAATCATGTTCACAAAAGGCTCAACCAAATTAAACCCTGCACGAGAAATAAATAAATTTTACTTCAGTTATCTTGTTATTGAAAAATAATAGGTTTGGTCACGTGAAAAGGCTTTGTTTTTTTAATAAAAATTAATTTTTTTGACGAATGGTACATATTCATTTTAACATACCAACTCCAGGCTTATTATTTTTTTTATAATTGAGGTACATACTTATATCTGAAATGCGTTTTTTTAATATTAATTTAATTTTATTAAATTATTATTAAATAATAATTTTCACTCCATTGTTTATTTATATCTGGAATTAATATTCAACTGAGTTATTTTTTTAATTTGTATCTCGTGAAGGGACCTAAAGTATTTATTTGAAAAAGTTTCTGGAATTTAGTGACTTGCTTGATTTGAAATTAAACTTTATAAACTTATTTTTCAAAAAAATTTAAAATGAATAACTCAATGAATGGAGTTTGAACGAATAATCACAATAAATCAATTTTCGTTAAAAAAATTTGGAATGCATTTTTTTTTTCGGTTTTTTAAATATGATAATTACCTTTTTTATATTTACGTATTTTGTTTCGAAATATTTTTACACAAACATGGAGAAGTGCAGATCAAAGTGCAGATCAAGAAGACATTTTGTAAACATAGTTACTATGCACAATGAATTAGAAATACTAAAGGAAGGAGTATCTTTGAAAACACGATGATGCCAAATTTTTTCTAGTTGTCTCTTTCTTTGCTCTGAGCATTGTCAAAATAACAGGAGCGTATTTATTTTATTTTCTCTGACCTCTACTATAAAATACATATGTGTAATTTGTAGGAAGGATAAGTAAAAACTAATACATATTTCAAAATATTTTTTCATTTTTGATATCTGTAAAAAAAAAAAGAAATTTAAACAAAACTCGTTATATTTTCTTTTCGTTGGAAAAATTTATTTTATAAATTGAGAATGAACATATGACTCTCGAAAATTAACATATTTTGTTAAAAAATTTCTTACATTATCAGTTTTGTTTGATAATTTTACTGAACAAATTTAAACAATATTAATAAGAGTAAATATAAATACATGTAATTCTTAATGACTCTAAAACAGCATAATTTTTAACAAATTTTAATATGATGGTCATTACTCACTGAAGTAGATGGTATGTTGTCATATTCTTCCTTATTCATTGATTAAGCTTTACATACTAATTCATTCTAAAACAAAATATCTTATAGCATAAATAATACACGCTAATATTGTATTTTACTTACTGAATTCAATAATTTATTTTTTTGGTGACCAAAACTTCACTCTATAAAGGGAAATATATCTCATTTCGTTATTTCATTTCATTATTTTTAGGAAAACTTTAATTATACAAAAAAAATCAATTTTAAATATTTGTTTGTATGCTACATTTTATAAAACACAAACTCTTTTTGCTTTCAAAAAAAAAAAACGGTTCGGGTAAAATTATGGCATCCAAATTAATAATCCAAACAAAAACATAAAGCGCGAAATTAATGAAATTAGAAATTATGAATAAATCAAAGCACTTTTGAATAAATATTTCTTTTAATTATTGAAATGAATAATATTCACATGTATATGGTGCAAAAAAGCAATTTGTTTTTTGCAAATGGGAATAACATAAATGGGATTTGGAACTATACAACTTTTTCTTTTTCAAGAAATTTTTTTTTTTTTTACTTGTTATAACTTTTTTAGAAGTTTTTATAAAACCATATCCTTTTTTAACACTTATTATTAAATATTTTAAGATTTTTCATTTACAAACTGCACTAATTTTATAACTAAAATAACAAAATCTTTTTTGTTTACTTTTTATGTTGCTGTGCGTTTTTTAAAAAAAAAAACCACAACATTTGGCATTTAATGTTGATCTCAGTTTGACAATGCTTGGAGCAAAGAGAGAGACTTACCTGAAGTTTTTGGCTTCACAATGTTTTTTTTTCAAGATACGATTTTTTTGGGAGTGTAGCGAAATAGAAACAAAGATGTTCCTTCCTTTAGTGTTTCTCATTCTTTGACATGCATTTGATGTTATTATGTCAATCTTTGTTAATCTTTCTATATGCAATCTAAATTTAAAAACTTAAAAAAATACAACTCCACTATCAAATAAAAAATTGCAGCGAAACAAAAAACAATTTAAACAACTGATTTTATTAAAAAACTTACGTTTATATCAGTCTATCAAAATAGAACCAAATCTATTTTTTCGTTAATATAAAATTTTAATGAAATTATGAAATTGATAATGTTTACATGCTCAACCTTCCCCAATCTCAAACACGATTATCAATCTTTAATTGATATGTAAAACCAGACTAACAGTTCAATTCCGATCAGAGTGCCCAGATTGGGAATCTCTTTTTTCTTTCGGGCTATGCTTTCTAAAAATTCGCTCTACGAATTTTAAAAAAGCAGTTCGCGACAAATTGGGCCACAAAAATTCAAAAATTGGGATTTTTGGGGTACAAGTTAATCCGTCAAACATAACTTTAAGCATGAACGCAAGCATGTTTTATATTAAATAAAATATAACTGACATTAAAGTATGTAAATCAAGTCACATGTCTTGTTATACAGGCTCTTCTAAAATTCATTATTTTCGGTATTACCAACAATTCTTTTCAATTTTGCTTAAATATTTCATTCCATTAAGAAAGTTAAAAGAGAAATTCGAGGTCTGGTGGCGTTTTTGAAACTAAATATGGGGTCTTGAATTTAAGTACAAATTGTATATAGACATTTATAAATACACATATATATTTTTTATAAATATTTTATTTTTATTTTTACATGGACATTTGTAAATGTAGTAGGAAATGGAACATGATATTTAGTGTAGACAAAGAACAACAGCGGCTCAGTTGGCTTCTGACAGAAATTTTTATATAAAGTATCAAAAATTATAAAGGCAATGGCATAATGTATGCTTTACATGCTTTACACGATTTTACATTCTGTATACCTTTTATGGAGCGACAAAGTGTGCAAAATTTTTCAAAAATGTACCTATATGTTTTACTTTTGTTGCGATTTTCGGCTACTTTTTTTGTAAAAAGTGGCAATTTTTCTATTAACACACCTGGGTACTCTGATTTCGATTCATCTTCCCTGATAACGCTTCTTTTAAGACTCTGTATATGTGGTAACTCTACAAAAAATTTGAAATTTTTTTTTCAGTTTACTATTTAGTTTGCGCGATAAATTTGTATTTTTTAGAATTAAAAATTTTTATTAATTTTCGCGCTATATTTACTTTATAAAATGAATGAGATTAAGGAAACTAGATCATTTTTTGTACCTAGACCTCCGAGTATTGACCGACGCTTTCGCCCGAAACCAATCCGGCAAGTAAATCTTTTAAATCTAATAGATGAATGTGATGGCGATACAAATTATGAAGAAACTGATGAAAGTGCAAACTCCACGTATGAAACTTCTTCTGAGACTAGCAGCAATAAGAGTGAAAGTACAGAAAGTGCTTTTGTTTATTTAAGAATTAAGCCGGTTGAAAATACAGTCCAAGCTAATTATATTGTTTCTGGTCAGACTTTAACAACAAATTCGGTTAACATTCAAAACACAATTGAAAGAAATTTTACGTTTAGTCACATATTTGATGAGAATGTTTCGCAAAGTGATATATATAATAATTGTATACAAGATAGGATCGAAGCAGAGAATAATTTTACCATCATGACATATGGCACATCAGGTTCAGGAAAAACCTATACTTTGTTGGGAACCCCTGATAAGCCTGGCATTATTTCAAGGTCTTTAGAAAATATCTTTACGAAATATTCTCAAAATTTATATTCGTTACCGGCAGCTCTAATAAGAAATGGCGAAATTATGATTTCAAGTGATAAAGACCTTAAAGAATGTACATATTTAAGAAAGGTGTTTTTGGATAATAAAGCTGAAATTAAAAAAGATTATGAAATGATTCAACAAAAGATTAAGCAAGAAAGTCACTTTGAAGAGCATCCTAGGGAAAATGAATCAGTTCTAATTTATTGTTCTTTCATAGAAATTTACAATGAGAATGTACATGATTTACTTAATCCTAAAGAAAATCTTAACATTTTAAATAAGGAACCGAGTAAAAAACATTCACTTAAGATAATCATGAACGATGGCAGAGTTTTCGTAAAAAATGTGACCTCTGTTTTTGTTAAAAATAGTTTCGAGGCTTATCAGTTGTTATGGAAAGGATTAAAAAGGGTAAAAATTTAAATTAAAAATTTTTAGCAAATAAGATTTGAAATAAGAAGAATGGATTTAGAATTTTAAATTTTTGATTGCAAACTAATTTTCAATTACAGGTTACGTATGCCTCAACAGCTATTAATAATAACTCAAGTCGTTCGCATTGTATATTTATGGTGGATATAATAAAATTTAATGCTCCAGATATGTTTTCTTGTGTAAGTTATAAGTTTTGTGATTTGGCCGGTTCCGAACGTCTTGGCAAAACTGAAAATAAGGGGGCCCGCTTAAAAGAAGCTCAGCAAATTAATAAATCCTTGCTGGTTTTAGGAAGATGTTTAGAGTCTGCATACAATAATCAAAGTAAGAAAAATTCAGTAATCGTGCCATATCGCGATTCGAAACTTACCATGTTGTTGCAAACAGCTTTACGTGGAAAAGAAAAAATTTTACTTATTGTGAATATAGCACCAACTGAAGAATATTTTGAAGAAAATATAAATGTTCTGACGTTTTCCTCAATAGCAAGAAATATAGTTTATAAGCCATTTGTCGAAAAATGCAAACCTGTTAGGTTTTCTTTATTAACTCATGCTAATGAACAGTCATATACAAACGAAGAACTCGAGAAAATGCAAGAAGAGATTTTTGCGTAAGTCTTAAAGAAATATTTGCGTAAGGTTATATTAGCAACTTTAAATTTTTCTATGTTTTGTAACAGGCTTCGCAAGGAAAATGAAAGACTTGCTAATCTCAAGGATGATTTCGAAAAACAACTGAGAAAGGACCTTGTTACACAATTTGAAAGTGAAATGGAAAAAAGAAGGATTAAATGGGAAGAAAAAATTGAGCATAAGGAAAATATGCTGAGGAAGATATACGAAAGGAAAGTATGTATATGAATAATATAGTGTCAAAATACATTTAAAATATTTTATAAAATTTTCAGATTGAAGACTTAAAAAATAGCTATGAAAGAAAAATTCTGAGATTACAGAAACAGTTAGAAGTTTCCGAAGAGGAAAGTAGCAGTGATGAAGAAATATCACCAAAAAAAATAAAAACTTAGTTCTATATTATTTTATCATTTAAATATGCAAATGTTTGTGATTTTTAAATTTTAATCAAAATATCTATTTATCAAGAATATATGCCGTAAACTAAATCTTGAACCTCAAATATACCTAGGTACCTTGTTTGGAAATGAAACTATAATATGTAATTCATTTAATTTTGACTTTACTTTTGAAAATTCATTCCCTTTATGTGGGTAGGTACATAATATTATTATATGTGTACATACATACATACCATTCAAATATTTAATGCTTTCAAAAATTATAGTAAATTTTGGAACGCATTACTGAAACGTACACAAGTATGGCTTACGAATATTTTTTTTCAATATCTCGGATTCGTGTGCTTATGTACACGTACATATTTTTATGGAGGTTGTAGAGGTTTATTTCTTATGTTAAATCTGTCAAACTCAAAGTTTTTCTATGCAGTAGTGCTAACATTATTATGGTTTTTTGTAATAGAAACATCAAAACATTGATTTTTAAATGCTACACTAGTACAAAAAAGCAAACAAATCAGATTTATTTTTGTGAAGTGTTAGTTGACTTTTTTGTGTTTTTTCAAATTTGAAAAAGTGTACATTAAGTAAGTGGATGATATTCGACAATTTAGATATGCAATGAAAGTTCTAAAATAAATCTCAAATGTTTTTTCACACATACAAATCTATAAAAACAGAATATTTTACTTCTGCGGATTTGTAACATACTCGAGTAATTCTTCAATATTTCAACATTTTTCTATTATGCTCCTCTAATTTACAATATTTTGGCAGTAGCTCAGTGCTCGAAGTGAGGCGGGATGGAGTGGGGTGCCATCCCAGTACTTTTAAATAATTGGAAATCAATCCTACTACTTAATAGGAAAGAAAAATGCGTTCCGGAACATGTTTTTTAAAATTTAAGAAAATTTTCTAATTAATTTTAAAATTTTTTTTAAAAAAAATTAAATATATGTAATTTTAAATAAGACCAATTTCAAATAGTAACGTATAATTTTTTTCTATTAATGAAATTTTGGTTACTACATAGTAGTCTATGCATTTCTTTGGTAACAATTTGCAGTTTTTGATTCAAATTTTAGTTGATTTAATTTTGAATATAAATATTCTCGTTAGTTTACTTCCAAAGTTTTGTAAATTTTGTTTAGTTATTTTTTTAAAAAATAACTAAAATAATACTTTTTTTTTTTATTTTTTTTTTACCATCCCACCACTTTGAGTATCCCACTTCGACCACTGCAGTAGCTATAAAAATATTTATAAAATCCTTTAGAACCTTAAGGACAATTGTAATTTTCAAACATGTTATTTTTGCAAATTTTGCTGCTTGGATTCTACAGGTGCTAATACATCTTGAGGCTCTTCTTCGTCGGCGTCGTGCGATTCGTTATCATCTGTGTCTAAGTTACACTACATTTTAATTTTGTCTGCGCTTGTGTCAGTTACGTTGCGATCTCGTGATCTTCTTTCTGATCTATCGAACTCTTTAATTGCGATGATACGATATGGGCCTCAAAATTTAGGCCAGATTTTTAAGTCAGTACCAAACTGAACTCTGTATTGCAACCATTTCACCGACATGATACTTTCTTGCCTTTTTCCGTTTCTTATTAAAATTTTGTCTATTTTCTTGTTGAATTTTTTTAATTTCTTATTTAGCTTGTTGCCGTTGTTTGTTGAGTGAATCTTCAAATTTCTTCTGGTTTCATACTCAATTATTTCTAGAATTTTCAGATCTTTTTGAGTTTTCATCTCACATCCTACTAGTAATTCAAATGGTGTCGTTTTTATTGCACGGTAGTTTGTAGAATTTATAACCCGTTGTACTGGTTTAATATAGGGTTTAATGAATAAGAATACTTATATTTTTAAAATATATTAAAATCTAGAAAAGGATATATGTAATAAAATAAATCAAAATTGTAAAATAAACAAAGAAATTTAAATTTGTTTATAAAAGAGATATAGTAAAATTAATGAATAATAAATGTATTACAAATTTTTTAAGTGGTGTAAAATCCGTCTGTAATATAATTAAAAATCATCATATCCCGAAAGTAGAAGAATTAAAAATCATCATGTCCTGAAGAAAAGATAATTCCTAGAATAATTTTGTTGAACAACTACAGAGGTAATATAACGCACCACTCAATAAGTCTGTAGGATAGCTGATAAAACAACAACATAGTCCCTTTAAGGTAATACAGTTATTCCAGCCCTTCTCTAATTTTGATGTTTTCAACCATTTGCCTCGATTTTAGCAAACCAGTTTTCAACCATTTGCCAAATTTAATTAAATTTCATAATTTAACGGTTAGAATAAATGAGGGAAATTTTACCTCAGAAGCGGTTAGTTATAAATTATTATCCCCATTTTAACACAAACTAACTTTTACAGAAAACTAATATAACAAAAGTATTTTTTTGAAATGATGAATGAAAATCATCGTGAAAACATTAATGAAATCAATAAAATAAAATCGTAAACGAGAACACAAGATATGCCATGTTTTCTATTTTCTTTTTTTAGATTATAATTAAAAATAATAACATACATATGTAACTTTAAAAACATAAATTATAAAAAAATTTTCTAAACAAAAATTTAAAGATCCACAAAAAATGTAAGGGTTTGTTCGGAATCATCAAATAAAAGTTGTACGATTTTGTTGAAATCGAAAAAAAATAAAATTTCAATGTATCCTTTTTTTAAACACATTGTATTATTTTACATTTGAAGACTTAATAATCTTCATGCTTTGTATTATTTCATTCCATTGCTTACTTTAATAAGAAAATTTTTTTATAACTGAAATAAGTGTATGAAAAACCATATATGTATATCGAAAAAAATTGTGGATACTCAATTTGACAAATACGGGTATCTCTTGATTTACGCCCCCTCGATATACGGCATTTCGATTTACGCTCTTTTAATTTTCAATACCACTAATACAATTTAATTTTCAATACAATTTACGTACATAACGTCGTTACCCTCGTTTTAAACTTTTTTTTTCGAAGTAAATTTCTACCAAAAAAAGTTAATATTACGGTTGAATGTGTCCTTTCAATTATCCCGTTACCTCGGGGTACACCAGCGGTAATAAAATGCAACTTGATGCTCCGTTCTTTACAATAGTCTTGGAAAGTTTTGAAAGACAAAGATAACCTAACGTGGTCTGATGGCATCAATGATGCGGGAGATTAACTAAACCTAAAACGAAACTAGATGGTGATAAACTCCTAAAACTAGTCAAACTGACTAACCATTAGTTTTGCTCTATCGTGTTTTTATGTTTATATTCCGTGAAGGAAGGCATGGAAGTGCTATCACAGCACTTAATTCGAGAGGTCTCGTTCGTCTCAGTCTTTTTCTCCAAACCGTCTTCCCTATAAATTGGGAGGCCTCGACATTTAAATTCTGCTCCAAAAGCGCCCTATGTTTCATGGCACAGTTCCCTATATCTCCTCACTAAATTGTTGTGGGTTCACTAAATTTTTGTTTGTGAAATTCACATGTACAGATTTGATTTCATTTAGCTTTATTTTCCATGTATTTGTTCATTTACTTATATTGTTATTTGCTTCCTGTAATTTATTTGTCGCTTCTTCAACATTTGATCCCAATGTCAATATTGCTGTATCGTCGGGGCAAATGTAGCGAAAATTACAGCCCCTAAATCTGCCAAATCGCTTGTATAAAGCATGTATAATATACGACCCAGAATACTGCCTTGAGGCACATCAGCCCTAATTTCCCTAAGCTTGGAGTACTCGCCGTTCTGTTTGATTCAGAAAAGCTTGTCAGATAAGCATGATTCAATTAGTTCAACTAACACAAATTTGAAAAATATTAATTTCTTAAACTTAAATAATGAATCGCCGTGCCAAACTTTATCGAATGCCTGGGCCTCGTCCAGAAATATTGTCGAACATATTTGCGTTTCTTCTAACGCCTTTTGCTCAAGCGGCGGATCAAATGAAGTGGGGACGCTAAGTGATAAAAATGTCTTGACCCTTAAAATGAAATTACATAAAAAATGAAAAAGTTTTCGTGAATCAGGTAAACATAATTATTTTACGGATTTATTATCTCATATTTGGAGATTTCAAAACTTATGAATAAAAAGTCTATGTTCCCAGGTTTATTTAAAAAGTGTTTATTCAAATTTTAGTCTTTTTAAATACAAAATTTACTTTGATATCAAATTACAGTAGCCACGCGTTTATATGAACTAATTAAAGCAAAGCCAATTCATATAAACGAAGTTTTCATATAAGTGGGGGTAAATAAAAGACATTATTTTTACGCTAATTGAATGTGTTATGTTTAATCTCAAATAAAAAAAAAAACACAATTCATAATTTCATAAATAAAAACATTCAAAAAACAAAGTTAAACTGATTTTATTGGAAGATTTTTTTTTTCTTTGTTTTAAAAACCAACGATACAAAGCCCTTTCCATAACCGGTAACTCCGATTTTCTAAGAGTTTTTCGTGTACCAAGCCCCAAAAAAGTGCAGCTAATTGCTTTTATAATTCCAATTTTATTTTTATTAATGTTACATATAGTCGATTTTGCCACATTATATTCATTTGCTAAATTAGTTACAGTTGCACCTTTTTTTAATTTTTCTATTATACACTGTTTGTCATTAAGCCTTAAAACTTTGCGTATTTTACGAACCATAGCGAAAATAATACTGACCTACAACAATATTGCTTAAAACAAAACCAAAAATTGAAATGTTTATGTATTTTTAAGATCATGTATGTACACAAAAAACCCGTTCAAGAATCAACATGCAGTTTCCCTGATAGCAAAAATTCGGCGATTTTACCAAAGCATAAAGCAAAATACACATGGCTCTGAAAGATTTGCATGCTATCTGGGTATCAATTTCATATTCTTTATATTTTTGGTACCGTAATATTTTATTTGTATTTATGTGATTACGATTTTGAATAGAGAAAAAAAAAATGTACATATAAAAGGGTGTGAATTTTTTAAGTGTTCATATAATAGAGTTGTTAATGTTAAAAAATCGCTGTTCATATAATCCCGATGTTCACATAAAGCGATGTTCATATAAACGCGTGACTA